GGGTGTTAAATGAAGAAACAAAAAAAAAAAAATTGAAATAAGAAAAGAAAAAAGTTCCTCCCCCACACTGCTCTCGGCACACCGCTACCACGGTTTCTCCGCGCCTGGATGATGAATGATTGAAAGTTCCGACCCTTTGCCTTTTTCATCCCCCGCCTTCTGTACGCTCTCTCTTGAAATTTGATTTTTTGATAAAAAATTTTTGAAAGTGGTGAAGATGAACGAAAATTGTAGGAAAAATAATGGGGTTGATTGAAAAAACTGGAAAAAATGTTTGAAATCAGAATTGTGGACAATAAAGTATGAATGAAAAAAATGAAAATAAAAAAAAAAGATGTTGAAAAAAGATTGAAAAAGATGAAATTTGAATGAAAAATTGCAACATGTTGATTGTTTTGACTTGTTGAACGAATATTCCACTCCCTCCCTTCTTTCGCAAATGAATGATGAAAATTGAAATCTGTTGGAAAAATGAATGAAAAAAACTGAGATTGAGAAAAAATGAAAAACAAAAATTGTGAAATGTGAATTGAAAAAAAAAGGAAAAGAAAATTTGAATTGAAAAATGATGTGAATGTTGAAAAAAAGATGTTGGGTGAAAAAAAAGAAAAATTGTGAAATCAATGAAAAAAAAAAAAATTTGTGAAAAAAATGAAAAAAGTTGTTGAATTGATGAAATTGGGATAATACGTGCCTGCGTCATCCCGCTCCTGTCTTGCTCTGAAAAAATATTGTTTGGAAAAAAAAATTGAAAAAATTTTCAGGAAAAGGACTCTTAAAAAATGAAATGTGATTGAATAATGTGCTGCTTGTCTCACCGTTAACACCCCTTCATTTGAAGAGTGGTAGGACACATTCACAATACTTAGGCTCCCTGATCACCAAGGGAGATCGTCCTGACGGAAGAAATCAAAAGCGAACATTAATCCTAAGCAAACAAATGCATATTTTGGATTCAGTAAACACATGAGAAGCAGAAACTTAAGCCAAAAAACAAAAAATAAACCATACTACAAAACTCTTATACAAACTACTGTTGATATATGCATCGGAGACATGTGACTATCTCCAAGTCAGATGAAAACTTCCTGCTCTATAATATTTGACACGAAAGCATCCTGAGATGAAATATTACGGTGGCATCTGTGAAAATGGTATTTGGAGAAAAATGGTACACAACTAGCGAGATATATCCACAGATATAAAACATAATGTGGTGTTTTAAAGACGAAGTATCTTCTTATAAAATATAAAAATACTAAGATGGGACAGGGACATCTGGCAAGATTACAGCAGAACAACCCTCCTAGAAATATCCTTATGTTCACAACCTGTGGATATTCGAGAGTAAGGGTAAGCCAAAACTTCAGATGGAGAGATGGTGTGGATAAGGTGGTAGAATGGCTTTAGAAAATGGGCGCAGCAAAACTAGCAAACAGTGGGCAATGAATAGAAGACGGACTGGCGTAATAGACTTGGGAGAGTTCTCTTATAGGGCTGTCGTAGCTCTATGATGATGATGATCGTTACTGTATAGCAAACCAACTACTTGGAGATGGTGGAAAGCACCTTGCAAATATGAATAACGAGCCGCGATTGCTCAGAAATCGAAAAAGATATGACTTCTTTTGTGGATATTCACGTCAGTATTATATTTAACACCACTAGCGTTTGTACCGAGACTAAAGATCTATAGCTTAATGACCCTTAGATTATAGACAAATATCTGTTTATATTCGCATTCAGAAGCCAAAAACGCAATTCCTTTTAAACGATTAGATCATCTACATATAACAGAGAAACAATTTACCCAAAGACAATTTGGACGAAACAAAACAAACACTGTCAAACTTTGTTTATTCCATTGTCTAAGAACTAAAGTGCTCCTATAGGAAGACTTTGAAAGGGTACAAAAATCATTATTTCGAATAAATAATTGCAAGTCGCGTAAAATCTCAACTTTATATAGGGTCAGACACAAGTATTAAAAAAAATTAATTCAAGTTTAAAGGAATTAATCTAACATATCCAACAAAACTATAAAGAATTTTTTAAAACCAAATACACATGCATGTTATTAGGGAAAGCTTAACATATAAATTTCACACAGCCATCACTAAAAAATATTTATTCTTGTAATTTGTCTTAGTTTGTAGAACACCGTGGAATATTATATCGACAAAACATACAAAATAAAAACCAACCTATCTAACATTGTCAATTACAGCACGGTTTGGTAATTGGAGGTGACTTTCTTCATGCACGTTCATCCCATCCTATCTCCTATCTGGATGAATACATTCTCTAACTGCTCATCTGTGCTGTAATGGTTCCAAAACGTTGGCGACCAATTCTGGCTATGATGACTTTACTGTGGTGCTCTATTACGGACTAGCTGTGTTGAGGTCTTTTTATACCATGTTCTCAGGTTTAGCAAATCAGCGATATTCTTCTTCGTCTTGGGACCCTTTTTTCATCAATGTTACCATTGCAAAAATGCATTGGATTAGCTCTATATCTGCCTTGATTTCTTATTATCTGTTTTAAGTTACTGCAGCTTACGGCGCTTTCACGATTTGGTTGACCAAAATCCGCGGTTTGTATTTATCCTCCGTAGTACTTCTCTCATTGCTTATATCCTTTAGCTCTAACCATAGCTTTAAAAAAGTCTGAAGTTTTGATTAAAGTTTTCGCCATCACTGTCCACGTTTCTACTCCGTACAAAAGACTGACCGAGTAACACGTTAACATCTTACGGAGTCTGATGTTTGTTTCTAAGGGTGCGGTCAGGACTCTTGAAACAGAGCTCATAATCGAAGGATACACCTTTTTGCCTTTTTCGATGCGACATTTTAATCTCTTTGGATTATTGTCCCAGGACTCAGTGGAATTTAGTTTTTAAGTAGTTGTACTGTGTGACACATTCAATTCTCATGCTGGGTTGACATACAGATTTGCCCACAGTTATGTTTTCCTTGCAGATGATTCTTAGGTTAGTTGTGTTGGTGTTTATATCCAGTCTATATATTCTACTTCATTTCTGTTATTTTGTGTTGTTAACTTATGCCAGCCCTGTGCTTATGGTATTGGAAAACACACTATTTTATTATCTGCCATACTGCAGGTTCTTTTGCGCTTGTCTCCATTTAGCTGAGATGCTCTTTATCAATATCTTCTTAGAGGCCTCTTCAAAAAAGTGTGCTAGGAGTACAGATTGAATAACAAAATCCACAAGGGAGGGAAACTAATTCCTGCAGCTGGCCTGTATACCAACGTATCATAAAAAAAGAGGTTAAATCTTTGTAAATGAGTGTAAATATACCCATTTACAAATATATTAAACCTCTTTTTTTAGATTGAATAACAGTGGTGAAATTATGCAGCCCTGTCTCACGCCCCTTAAGATTTTGAGCTGACCTGTATATTCTCCATCTATTCGGAGCACCGCTGATTAATTCCAATATTCTCTCTTCCGTCTATTCACAACAGTCTCTTCCGTCAATCCCTGTCCTCTTCAGCACATTTATCAGTTTTTCATGCCTAACTCTATCGAATGCCTTCTTATAGTCAATTAGGCATGCAAAAACATCACAGGTGACATCTCTATTATTTCTGAAACAATACCCTACCCCGATAAATAAAGCTTCTTTCTTACCAACGGCCTTCACAAACAACCATACTGATTGGGCACAATTTCGTTCCTCGGATTTCCGATTACATTCATTTTGTGGACTGACTTTGAAAAACCGTCTTCCAGCAGATGGTTCCTCTAGACTTATGGTTCCTATAGTTCTTTACCATACTTTTGCTTCTGTTTTTTTGGGCATTGGTACAGAACTCAATTTGAGCCCACTCTACTGGTTTTTTCATGCCTTGTATAAATCATTAATACATATTTCAGTATATTATTTTTATTTGTTCTGCATCTAATAGCTCCAGCAGTCTCTGCAGAAAGTGTCATCCAGATCCTGGTTGCGTTTTCCTACTTTTGATTTGTCTGGACTCGGTTGGCCGTTTATGTCTTCTGGTCAGGATTTAGGGACCGGAATTTTCTTCACATGTGTGGGTTCTTGTATTGTTCTACGGTTTTGGGAAAAGTTTCTCCAAGTATTTTTCCCATACTTTCTTTTCATCTTCTTTGGTTATGGCAAAATTGCCTTCATCATCTGTTATTTTTCGCTGTTGCGTTTTTGAAATTTCCCATGCTATTTTCCCTAACCTTTCGATGGACATCAAAAGTTATCTTATCGGACTCTTCATCTTCTTTGAGTAGGCCTCTGCTATCGGAGATTGGATAATCATCTATGGCGATTCTAATTTTATTAACTGCGGTATGTGAATAATTCGTTAGTGGTTTACAGCAAAAACTAACTCTCATAAATTTCTCGTCCAGGACATTCTTCAACGGCCCTGATATTCTAACTGCATCCTTGGATTTTCCTTGCATTATATTTATGTAAGAACGTGTAGACTTTTGTCCTCTTATCAGGTGGGCCTAAAGGTATTCGACTCTGATACTCCTCTATTTTTTTACATTGTTCTGTTTTTTGTTTCTCTTTGGCTTCTGGCAAACGTTTGGCTCAAACCCCAACGCTACTCCAAGGTGGAATAGCAAGAAGAAATTATATGATCGCGAAATTCTCAAAAAAAAACTGCAAACCATGGATAAATCTAATATTAATATTAAAATCTTATGCATCAACAGAAGGAAAATAAATTAAATTAATTTGCACTGCTTTTGTTTGACACTCAGCTGCATTCATATTTCAAATCACGATGATTCATGTAATTAACGTATCCAGTGGTGAGTGATAAAGAGTAATTTATAGTTTGGCTTAATAATGTGAGTTAATTCATACATAAATAAATTTGTTATATTAAGGAAGATTGAAGTAGGAAAATTATACTCACTGCACATCTTGTAAAACCATTTCGTTAAATGATTTTCGGTCTACCCTCAAAACAGGCATTTGTATATAACTTCAAGACTTAATTAAAACATGAACGCCGGTACAGACTTTATTACTAATTTAAATAAAGTCAACCAACAACACGCGCCACCGAATGTTGAGGTTAGAATTACCATCCAAATGGAAATTATGTCTGACTGCATAATATCACCGCGTCGTGGAATTTTCGTATTCAACCTTACCTAACGTAAATCATTAAAGTTATAAGAATAATTTATACTCCTCGTGTTGTAATTACTGTCTGTTATGAATTTTATGTTTATTATTAATTTCATACAGAAATGTTATTACGCATATTGGTTTTTGATGCTTTTGGAAAAAAAATTTAATTTTATTAATAAACATACTGGATTTTTCTTTAAATTTCTACATCAATTTTATAAACTAAATAATTCGCTGAAAACCAATGATTTACACCGGAGATTTCATATCAAAAACAGTTTAATTTAGAAAAATAGACCGTTATATACATCTCTCTCTCTCTTCAATCCTGACCCCCCAGTGGGGAGTGTAGTGGTCGGAGTGATCGTCGTGTATTGTCCGTCTCACAAAGAGATCTCTGTCTCTGGTCATTTCTTTTTAATTCATGCATAGGTCTTTGGCATATTCCTGTAATTTGATCTATCCATCTTGTTGGGGATCTTCCTCGTGATCTTCGGCCTTCTACCTTTCCTTGTATTATGAGTCTTTCCATGTTTTCTGTGTTTGCTCTCATAACATGCCCAAAATATTTTAATTGTTGGAGATGGACTTTATAGAGAGTCGTTGGCTAACTTTTAGCTCTCTTAAAATTGAATTATTTGTTCTGCGGTCGGTCCAAGGAATTCGTAACATTCGTCTCCAACAGAACATTTCAGTGGCGTCTATCTTTCTTCTCTCCGATTGTCTCAGAGTCCAAGATTCACATCCGTAGGTCAGTATTGGGAATATTAAGCAGTTGATCAACTCATCTTTATCGCTCTTGAAATTTGACAGTCCTTCCATGTTTTGGTCATTTTTGCTGTGGCAACTTTTGCTAGATCAGATCTACGTTTAATCTCTTCTTGTAATGACCCTGTGTTTGTGATTAATGATCCCAGATATAAGTATGAGCTCACAACCTCGAACCGGTCAATTGTGGTTATGTGTGGATGATTGTTGTGTAGTCTATCCACTATCATGATCTTTGTCTTTGATATGTTTAATTGCAGACCAAATATTTGACTTTCGTTTTCGATCAGTCGTATAAGTTCTATCAGCTCTGCTTGACTATTTGCAAGAAGGGCTGTGTCATCTGCGAAACGTAGGTTGTTTAGTTTATGACCATTTATTGAGATGCCCTTTTCCCATCCTTCAAGTGCTCTTCGCATAATATACTCCCCATATATGTTGAATAATTGTGGAGATAGTATACATCCTTGTCTGACACCCCATTTGGATGAAATTCGTTCGAAAGTGTGTCAAGTACTTTACTGATCAGTAGTGTGTTCATTGTTCAGTTATAAGCGTAATTAGATGTTGTTGTACGCCTACTTCTTTTAGGATTCGCCATAAGTGTCCCACTTGACCCTGGTCGAACGCTCTTACGGTACATCTATAAACCAGCATCGTGCTATCCCCAACGAAAAAAATGTATTAACAAAAGTTGTATTGATTCTCATTAAGAACATTTTGATACCAATTTGCTCAGTAGCCAACACGAATCAGTCATCTTTTTGGAGAATCACAGGTCGCATAATTATTAAGGCGTATTTTAATTTATATTTAAGAACAAAGTATTGTTCTGAAGCTATTTTTTGTGGCATTTTAACGTAACTTACTAATTAAAATCGGAATACGCCACAATTAAATGTTAAATTAAGTTTATTGGACGTTTCAATTTCACTTCGAAAATCGTTCTCAAAATACAAAATTTATTACCAATGTTTGTATTTTGAGAACGATTTTCGAAGTGAAAATTGAAACGTCAATAAACTTACTTTAACCTTTAATTGTGGCTTATTCTGATTTAAATAGTAATTTAAAAAATAATTCTGTGTGGCCTGTTTAAATTGTAAACACCCTAAATTAATTGAAGTCATTAGACCCATTCCAACCAGTTGTTTTGGTTAAGATGTTTTTTGATATTTAGTTAAATTTTTGGAGTCTACTATGATACTTTTTGTAGTGAAAAATGCTTATTAAATTTTCAACTTTAAAGTTATTGCAACTTCGTTATTAATAAACATGTTTCTGAAATTTTAATCAAAGCTAATTAGGAGCACTTTAAATCTGGTGGCGTAGTAAGTTTGTAATAAAAAAACGCTCAAAAAAAATTCTCATTTGCTGAATTGAAAAAGTTTTATATTTGGTCTAAAAATGAAATAAACATTTTAAATTTGGTCCAGAAATCGATCTGTTTATTACTTTCTTTTTTTATTTTAAACGTAAGGTTTCTTTAGTTATCTGTTATATAACGTCTTCGGTATTAAAATATTTTAACTCAAGGCACCAAGTCACTTTAAATCCAACAGCGCAGTATTGTTTTAATAAACAAATACTCTGGCTAAAACTCTCTACTTTCGATTACGAAAAACCAGGAAAATCGAAAATTTAGAACAGAAGAGTTCCCCTGGGATAGCGAAGTTGAACAACAAAGTATATATTAGACCTTTTTACCATTAATCAATAATTGTTATTTCTAGATATGCTGAGATTTATCCTCCTATTTTAACCCTACTGCTGGCTGACAGAAGCAACACAAAAAAGAATCCAAGCATTCGAACTCTGGTGTTACCGTAAAATGCTCAGAATATCCTACTTGAGCCATACGACAAATGCGAAAGTCTTGCAGATGATGAATAAGGAAAGATAGCTTATGCTTATAATAAAAAGAACGGGAAAACACAATATTTTGGTCACATCATAAGAATCAAAAGTATGAACTGCTCCAACTTATAATCGAAGGCAAAGTCAATAGCAAAGAGGACCAGGAAGAAGACGCAACTCCTGGCTTAAAAACCTACGGCAATGGACGAACATGACCTCCATAGAACTATTCAGGGCTGCTACAAATAAGATTAAATGGGCAAATGTAATGGCCAACGTCCTTAAGGATAAGGCACCGTAAGAAGAGCTGGCTGACTTAAGGATCCGTTTGACCAGTCGTACATATTTTTACAAAACATCAAATGCACTGTATTCTATATACAGACTATTAAGTAAAAGTGTTACAGGTTTTGCGCGTGAAGGGAGGACATCCAATGATGTCTCACCTTATTCCATTTTGGTTTAGTTTTGAAGTAGGTTTTGTGGCCAGGTTCTATCTAATCTTCTTGTGGCTGGACCATTGTTGAATAATTCCCTTACTAGCTCATTGTTATGGTGAATGATACGTTCATTTTGTGACTCCGTGACTCGATGGATTTCTTCTCTGACAAAAGGAATCTTTAAGTCCTAGTGAAGTGTTTGATTACTTACGGACCATGGTGCATCCACTATCGATCTTAGCACTTTAGACTGGAATCTTTGGATAATATTTAGAGACGTTGGCTTTGCCCAGCCCTATAGGTGTAGTCCGTAGAACCAGATAGCTTTGAGCATAGTTTTGTCTAGAAGAATTTTGTTTTGAATAAAGTAAGACATTGGTAAAAAAACCTCATAATACTATCCCGACATGGTAAGTATTTGGTGTTACATTAGTTACTCTCAATACACCAAATTTGTTATTAAAAAAAATAAATGATGTGTCCTCGATATGTTACTAACTTACTAATAGTGGTATTTTTCTTGTATTAACTTCCTCTTTTAATATGGGTAACCAGATCCTACTACATTCTGCAGAGGTATTTGTAACAGAATTGGTCTCATTTAGCATAATTAGAGCCGCTTCTTTGATTTTCTCTTTTTACCACCTGTTTCTTTTAGGACTATACTTGAATGATTCCATTGAACCCTATGTTCTTTTTTCCCATGTGTGTTTACATATTTAAGATCTATCAAATTCTCTTTTTTAATATAAGAATAATGTTCACTTACTCTAACATTTAATGTCCTTGATGTTTCACCTAAATAAAAATTGTTAGGTGTAGTTTTAGATAAAATAGATCTAAATGTGTTTTTTGTTTTGAATGGTATTGAAATGTTGAATTTATTTCCTATCTTTTTCTAAGTCTTTCTGATAATCTTTTTATGTATGGTATTATTATTTTCCTCGTATTATTCCTTGTGTTTGCTGTAGAATCTCGTTTTAAGTTGTTCTGTTCCATTAGATCGATTGTTAAAAATTCACTATTTATAAACGATAAAGGATAATCATTTTTTAATAAACTAGATTTTAACAAATGTTTCTCCTCGAAGAGCTCATATTCGTTGAAAAAAGCAATTTTTGCTCTATTGGATAACGATTTAATGATTCCTAAAAATTTGTTTAATTTATTAATGTTTGTATTTTGTGAACGACTTCCGAAATGGAAATTGAAACGTCAATAAATGTACTTTAACCTTCATTGTGGCTTATTCCCATTAAAATAGTATTTACTTTAAAATGGCACAGGAAAATAGGTTTAGAACAATATCGGAATAAATGTTTAACTTTTTTCAATAAAATGCTTACTTTTGAAAAAGTCCACAGCCAGATTCAATCTAATTTTTAAAGCACACGTAACCAAACAACAAAATAAAATGTGACGTTGTACAATTCGGTCATCGTCTGATTTTGACATTGGATATTTCCACGAGCAAACAAATTGGGAAATAACTGTCACCCTGTATTACGCAGTTCTCATCTGGGACTAAGATTTGAATAATAGAAAAAGGATGATGATACAGTCACGGAGCAGATACACGCGTGTTCCTGATACATAAAAAATACATGTACATGCAAGAGGCACTTTTTGAGCTTCCGTTTATATTTCCCTGATATGTTTAAGCATGTTTGGGAAGGTTTTATGTTGAAAAGATTTGAATAAATTTTCTGCGCATAGAAATCATGTAATAAGAAATGTTATCTAAGAAATATATTACGTTCTTTCAAATGTAAATTTATTATTTATATAGGTTATTGACAAGGAAGTTTTCTTTGTACAGTTACAATCAATTATAGTATCATACAACTATATTTTGATATCGCCTTTTAGGTAAAA